CCTGCACAGTGCTGTTCTGCAGCTGCTTCACTGCCAACAGCCGCCTGTCGCTCTTCTCTGCACACAGATGATGCTGTACCTGTCCTTCCCAGTGGCCATGTTCTGGGTCTCCAACCAGGCGGAGTATTTCGAGGAGTACGTGGTGAAGAGAAAGGTACTTCTGTTGATGTGGGCAGTTTGCATGATCATACACTGCACAGCTTGTTTCTCTCCTCCTTATCACTGGTCGCGGTGCAGCCAGCAAGCAATGGGCACAAGGCAGGGTACACCTTGGACAGGACGCCAGTCCATCACTGGGCACACACAGACACGCACACTCACACCAGGGCCAGTTTTCCCAGAAGCCAGTTAACCCACCAGTATGTCTTTGCACTGCGGGAGCAAACTGGGGCACCCAAAGGAAACCCACTCAAATGTGGGGAGAGCATGGGGACTCCATACAGACAGCACACAGGTCTGAAATAGAACCCAGTGCAGCAGGGCAACGATGCTAACCCCTGCGTCACCATGCTTCCCATGTGTTATAAATTTGCATGTGAGAATTGTGGCTAGGTAAATGAGGGTACTGTAATCACTATTTCAGCAGTTTTACAAAGTTTTATAAAGCCAGCAGCAAAGAGTTCTGAGAAAACGCTTCGACTCTGGTGGCAGGAAGCAGGTCTGTGAGCTGCCGGCTGGGCGCTGCTCCTCTCGGGCTGACCGGCTGCGTGTTGTGTGTTTCAGCGGGAGATCTACCCCCCAGATGAGAAGATGCAGGTAAGTGTTGGCCTCGCCTCTGCCTGGTGATTAGCGGTGCTGCCGGCCCGCTGACAGGAGCTCGACGGCCCGGTTAGCGTCGGGGGCTGCCGCAGGCCCTGGGATCGCGGCGCCTGCCTGCCGGAGGGGAAATCGATGGCCGCTGCTCTGGGAGCGCGGGCGCCTGGCCTTTAAAGGGCAGGATCAATCACTGAGCAGCCCCTGCGCCGCTCCGGGAGAGTCTGGACAGCCTCTCCCCCATCTCACTGGAGGAGGGGGGCAGGTGTGGAGAGAATAGGAAATGGAAAACAGAAAGAGTTAGAGCAACTTTTTACAGATACAGATCGTATCATTCAGTATAAGTGGTGTTAATCTTGGTGTGGATTATA